TATATATATATATATATATATATATATATATATATTAGTAAATTTAATCGTAAGAAGTCCTACAATTACAGGAAACTTGATATCACAGGAAGATCGATACAATATTATTTTCCGTAATTTATTTTAATGTCCTCGTCGTTATTTATTTTATTTAATTTATCACCAGATAATTTGCATTTTAATTATTATTACTTATAAAAGTCGTAAAATTTCGAAAATAATTATATCGATCGTTCCCTTTGTTTTCTACCTCAAATTACTAAGCATTCACCTGCAAAGCTGACATTTGACGCGTTGGAATTGACTGTCGAAGCAATGGATAAAGACGTTAACGTCGACAGATCTGTGCTTTCCACAGCTCTTGAGTAATCCGTCCTTGTCATATGTGGTGGACAAATTGATGCGAGCGTCGATCGAACAAGATCGTTATTTCTATCAATTCTTCGATGCCTCATATGGACACCGGATTTATTATTGCTACCGAGTCCAAAATGTAGAAGCTCTAAATGCCTCCTTAAATTTCGCGATTGACGTAAAATTGCTCCGCAAAGTGGACACGACGCCGGTTGATCGGACATACTTCGTGATTTGGATAATCCATCTCCTAAAATTAATTCCGTCAGATCTAAACACGTTCAAACACACTTTAAAAAGAAGTCACCGTAAGGATAGGCAGTATACATAATCGAACTAGCTTACGTTTTGGGCTGTATATTCATTTTTCTGACCTTTTCTTATTATTCAAATCATTGTATTGCAACTCCTAACTAAATTAGATTAATAATACAATTATATAAATAATAGTAAAAGTTATAAATAAATAATTTGCAAAATACCTTAAAGAACTACGAATTAATAAAGATTCTTTTATTTAAAAATATAAAATCCATGATAAAATAAACTTTTATTAATTTGTCAAATAATTTTATTACTTACTATTATAATTAAATATATTATATAATTCATAATTCGTCGATTTTTACATCTATCAATCGATCAGTATCAAAGTCAAATGCATGCTTTTTAAAAAAATAAAACTGCGAAAATAAATATATTATTTCGATAGAGATTAAAATTTCTGTCAATTAAGTTTTTTTCTTATTTTAATTTACGATTTTTGTAATTATAAGAAAATATTTTAATTCCTTATATATATAAATAGATATAAATCAGCTTCTATTTTAACCATGATATTATTATTAGTGTTCTTTTTTACATAATCGACAGAAGTTCGAATTCTCTTGTAATTTTAAAATATTAATCCGATATTTTATTAAAAAAATAAAGAAAAAAAACTGAGCAATAAAGATTTGTAATTCAATAAGTTTATATAAAACTGATCATATACAATTATTGCATAAGTGATTATTTGAAAGATATCGAAAATTTACAAGTATTTTGCAATTCTTATTAATCATCGCTTTTACTATGAATAATTTTTTATCGATTGCTATTCCTATTAATCCTAAAGATACTGCTCTTATTTACTAACGTGGAAGATTTTAATATAATTGTAAATGTTTATTTTAAACATTTTGCTTCAAATTATTTTAATATCAATCAGAAACAAATCAGAAATGAAAAATTAATAAAATAAGAATACATAAACTATACAAAGAATGTAACAATCAATTCATTCTGACAAACTTTAAAAAATAATGTCAGTCCATTTTTTTTCCTTAAACAATGCAAAGAAATTATAATTTCAGAACATAAATTCCTGTAAGTACATTAAAACAATAATTAAAAAAAGAATACGCAGATTCAAATTAAATTTATAACATACATTATAAAACAAATTAGCGATAGGAAACAAAGTTGTTTCTAAATCACAATAACAGAATCGGAAGATTCTGTTTACATCAAATTTTCGTTTTTATTTTATTTTTGTATATTCATCTAGCGATAGTTGGAGACGAAACATTGCTTTGAGGAGAAACAACATTTGGTCCCTGTGATGTTGGCGAAGGAAGTGGACTGGGCTTACAAATTATTTGCTCACAGGTACTACTTCCACTATCAGTTCCATACGTCATAGAATGCTCATTATAACCAGATAACTCGACTTCAGGCTTTACTTCTATCATCATTGTATCAGCTGGGGAACTTTGGACCGGATTACTACTAAATCGATATTTGCAAGACGATAATAGATGTCTACGTAAATTTCTCGCTTGTCGTAACGTTGCACCACATAGTGGACAAACGCCTGGACAGTCGGATGCACCACGTATTTTAGACAAATTCATATTGCCTGTAAATCCACAAGACGCTGTTCCAGCAGTTGTACCCTGAGTAACTAATGGGAGCGGTATTCCAGGAGGAAAGCCCATATTTAGAGGACCAGGAAATTGCGGTATATGTAATGGAGAATATGGCTGCATTGGCATTAAAGTGTGAAGATGCGATTCATTGTCCGATATTTGATCCTGATGCGTTCCTGCTTGAGAATTTTCTGTTGACACCGGCTGCGCTTCTTGAGCACGTGGCGAGTGACAACTCCGATGATTCGAATATTCCAACCGATCGTTCGCTGCTAACAGACACAAACACAATATTACCATACAGGGCTGAACTGATTTTTACATCTGAAATTTTTGAGTTGTTATATCTTAT